TAATAACATAATATTAACATTATTATAAAAACATTAATATAATATACAACAATAACAAATTGATATACCAAAATAATTAAATATGTAATTTTTTAAAAATAATATGTAATAGTTATAATATAATATAATATAACTCATTAAAGTATAATATAATATTATAATACATTATACAATATTATATTATATTACATTTAATACTTATAATACTATAATAATGTAAACTAAATATTATAGTATTTTATTATAATTAATATATAATATATTAATAATATGTTTAATACTAATGTTATAATTGGTCAAATTAGTGTTGATAAAAAAATACTTAACATGATGTTTTGAAAATATTTTAAGAGAAAAACACAACACCATGATGTTTGTTACAAAAACATAATAAGAAAAACACTATGGTATCCAAACGAAGCCGATAATTTATTGTTGTGATTATGTAGTTATGTTTGTTTTACCTTTAATTTTTTTAGCGAAGAGAATCCGAACCCAAGACATTTTTGCTTAAAAAAAACAACAAAGCTATTTATATATTTTTTTCCCTGCACAAATTGCTGATGAAATATTTATGTGCACCACCGATACTTTCCTTCTGCACGTGATGTGTCCCGTGGGGCCCACTTGGAGTTGACGTGCGAGAGGTAATCATCGGACGGTCGGTAGTCGTACGCTGGGAATTTAGATAATAATTGAAAAAGTAAATAATTAAAATCATTCGGTCTAATGATATAAAATTAGCATCTGGGTTCGCTTTGAGTTTGAGGTTCGTCTCTTCGGGATCCCTGCCGCTCGCTACATTAATGTTGAGTTTAAGTAAGGGTAGACCCCTGTATTTTCAAATTGTGCGGACATGACCTTATGATGAATTTTTTTTTTCTATTTAAAAAAGTGTCAAATAAATAAATAAATAAATAAATAAATAAATAAATAAAAACCCAGAGAGACGGGCCAATCTCTCTCAGTTCTGAGTACGCAGATGGACATGAACCGCTAAATATTTCATTGAGGGGATCCGCCTGCACTTGGGCCAAGATATTGCAGGGCTCTGTCTGTAACCGTACAATACGCAGGAGGACTTCACCTCAACTAACCCATTAATGTTCGGAATGACGACCCCTTGGCATTTGAAAACTGGACGGTGATCACACGAGAGCGCTTTAATTTTTGGTTGAAATAACGCGGTTAGTGGGCACCGTTACCGTTTTATTTGGGATTTAATGACGTGCGTGCACGTGCTTCGGTTTATCATTCAGCCCCCTCGCCTTGATTTTTGATTGGACGTTTCAACCTATGTTGTTGAGGAATCAAATTAGTTGATGCGCTTGGAGTTCTTGAAGAAAATTTGTCAAAATAATAATAATAATAAGGATGATCTTAATAAGTTGGAGACAGTGATGCCTGAATTGAATTCGATAACTTTTATTTATATATGTTAGGGGTCGTAAAAACTTTTCATGATGATATCATTCAGTGGGGTTTGAGTTTGGGAGGGAGATCGATCAGCCCAAAGTGATTAGTTTTCTTTCCTTTTAGAGTAAGAAGAATTGATTCATGGGAGTTTTTATTAGTGGTTCTCTTTGCATTTTTTTTCAACTTGATTGAATAGACGATCAACAGATGGCCTGAATTGTAATATTCTCAAGGTAAACAAAAGTGAAAAAGAAAGATGGAGCAATTACCTTTGATGTCACGCCTCTATTGCTCGATCCCAAAAGAGGTAGTGCAGTGATTACAATAGGTAGTCCCGAGTTCCCCACATATATAGAAATATTAACAGATAATTAAGAAGCAAATGACTGATAAGTGAAATATTAGGGAAATGCCTTGCCGTCGCACGTGTACAAAATCAACGAAGGTGCCTTTAAATTTGGATTTTTTTTAAAAAAAAACAAGCTGTTATTTTCAGTAGCAATTCGGTTGAGGTGATCCTTCAGCTTTATGTCATGCATGCATCACGTGCATCTTGAATGCTGATGTATCATAAAAGTTAAAACTTGCTCAAGTGAAAAGAACTCGAGCTTAATATGTTTTTCCCTGAGCTAGATATTGTTGGATATTTATGTGTGAGTACGCTGTACGCCCAACAAGTGAAATGATAGAAGATACTATAATGCTAGACTGCAGATTCGCCTCTGGCAATGACCCGTACGTCAATGGAGCTCATAGTTCACTCACTTACAGTGTAAAAGTAGTACTTCAATTTCTTAATTCACTCTCTTATAGTGTAAAAATCAGTTTATTCTCTTATAAATTAGAAAGTAATTTAAGAAAGTATAATGTAGTTCACATTATTCTAGCAAAAAAATATAACAAACAAAAGGTTGTGACATTATTAAACTAACATTTATTTCGAATAGATAAAAACAAAGTTGGAATAGTCATTGGACAATTCATGCTTGATACTTACTTTAATTTAGTGGGGAAATTTTTCTATTTTGTTCAGGGTGAAGCTAGAAATTTTATATTGTCGGTCAAGAATCCAAGGAACATAAGTATGTTAGCAGCAATTAATTAGCTCAATTATTTTGGGATATTTTTTAGGCTTGATTGTACTTAAACACCAGATTGCTTCTACTCTAGTTTGCACTTATATATCTTCACTTGTCTTTTCGTAGCACTTATACAAGTTCGCAATTATACACGCTAAAAGTTTTTAATATAACACATAATACAACCAATTATGCAAACATGAGAGCCCTCACCCCCCAAGAGAAAAAAAAATTTCTTATGAAACACTCAGTTTTAGAACATTTTAGCTCTTACTATTTGCTAAGTTAACTATTAAAACTGTTAAAATACTCTTTTTAAAATAGAATCGTGGTTGGTTAAAGTTGAAAATTATTATAGGTTTAACAGTAGTCCCACAATAATCAAGGGTTAAAAGTTCTAAAATTAGCATGGGACTGTCAAATGAGAATTGTCGGGGAAATTTCGTTTGTGTGACATTGGGGTAGTAAAATGTAAATTTAAAAATGTTTAGGGGTGTAAAGCGTTGATAGAGGCAAGTAAAGGTTATATATGTGCAAAGTAGGGGAAGCTATAGCGTGTTTAAGTGCAATTATGCCATGCTTTTAAAAAGGGTATAAATATGTAAATCATCATATACAATCACTGCATATATAGGCAATTTCGAAAAGTTTGTGGGGGCCAAGGCGCAAAATTTGTGCACAGCTCCGCCACTGGTTTTGTGCCATACGTTTTTTTTTCCATCTCATCTAAAAAATAATGATTTGAGGGCCTAATAGCAAAATAACTTAAGATACGAGGAGCTTTGCAGCAAAATTTCAATGCTTCGGGGAGCTCTTTGGAAATATGAAAGATGTAAGGAACCAACACAAACAGAAGGCCTAAAATGAACACATATTCCCTTCTTATCTCCGATCCGGGTCGCACGGAGCGTACGCTAAGATCCATCGGGTCCCGGGTCAACAAAAACAATAACCCGTCAACCCCGCATATAATATTAAAAAACGCGGATCCAGGTCGCGGAGAGAGTCCGCTAAGACCCATCGGCTCAATCCTATTCCTAATCCTTAGGTGAAACAAACATAGAATACAAAAAAAATGTGATTCCATAAAACTAAAATTTGTCTATAAATTTTTTATGGATTAGATTAGAATCCATAAATAAAATAGGATTCCTAATCTTATTCATACTCTCTATTGAACCAAACGGGCCCTAATAAAATGGATCCGCAGGGGTGGGGAAGAGAAAACCCCCACGTAATTCTCCTTCACTTCCTTTTGGGCTAAATACCCATATTGGTATTTTAATTCCACCCCAATTTCCAACAAGGTATTTTAAATAGGCAAACCCGCTTTAAGACATTTTAATTGATCCAACTAACCAATAAGGCATGGTTTCTCGTCGGCGGGAAAACTTCCGGCGAGATCTCGTCACGTGCATGGCACATGATGTCTCAAAACTCGTTTTTAGCAGCGGCGAAGACAACAATCTCGTCATATTCAGCCGATTCGATGGGGTTAGCGATCTCAGGCGGCGTCATAACCATTATTTTATCCTACTTTGGGCTGAATATGATGAGATTGTTGCCGTCGCCACTGCTAAAAATGAGTTTTGAGACATCACGTGTCATGCACGTGAAGAGATCTCGTCGGAAATTTTCCCGCCGACGAGAAAACATGCCTTATTGATTAGTTGGATCAATTAAAATGTCTTAAAGCGGGTTTGCCTATTTAAAATACCTTATTGGAAATTGGGGTGGAATTAAAATACATTAAAATGTCTTAAAGCGGGTTTGCCTATTTAAAATACCTTATTGGAAATTGGGGTGGAATTAAAATACTAATATGGGTATTTAGCCCTTCCTTTTGTCTAAAAAACGATCTCGGAGAGCTTCGATCCGCCGGCGATGGCGATTTCAACTAAAATCAACCGGTCGAGCTCGCTATCATCGTAGCCGTAGCATTCTCGATCCGTCTCTTCTCCGTAAGTAAGTCTTTTGATCGTTTCTTGAAACCCTAGATTTGATCTGCTACGATCCCGTACGTGGAGTTTTCAATTGTTTGAATTTATTTGGGATCGCAATTCGTGGTTTGGTGCGGGTCGTGAACAGGATATTTCAGGTTTTATCTCGACACCAAAAAAACATCAAGACGACTGATGACTGTAACTGCAGAGAGAGAGAGAGAGAGAGAGGGAGGACTCATCAATCTACAGACACCGATGACACGAAAATCCTCATCATATCTGACGTAAACTGATATACAAACATAACAAAAAACTCTGTTGTCTGAGAAAATTATTCGCAACACATTCCCCTGCAGCCCAAAACATAGCCATCTGTAAAGAGAACCTGGGAATTTAAACTCCTAGTAACCGAAAGAATGCTTTTAACAACCGTAAGAGAATGATGTGAATCCTATCCACCTATACGAGTATTTGTTTGTAAAAACAAGATAGTCCCACATCGGTACCTTCACTTCACTTCTTTCTCAAAACTTTTCTCTAAAAAAGATCTGCAATACTACAAACTTGTTTCTCTATAAAAGAATTTTTATTTTCTGTTGTATCCTGGGAAGAAAAATTGCATTAACCTGAAAGTAATTTTGAATTTAAAGTGGGTCAAATATTTCTTTAAGGGAAGTGTTTCACGCCTCATAAATTCTCTCCCCTTCATTATGCCACACTTATCCAATTTCTCCTTCCAACTTTCTCTTCTGAACTTCCATATGGAGAGTGAGAAGAAGCATTCTTGGGCGAATCTACTGCATATTACTATACACTAAAACCCCAAAAAGTTACAACTTCTTAGGAAATCCGTAAGTTTTCTTAAGGAATTTCGAAGCAGCATCATCTCGCCTATAACAAAGAACGCGCAAAATTGTATTTGCTTCGGTAGGACTCCAATGCCACGATGTTGGAGGCAACGGAAATCTCGATTCGGCTTTAGAACCATAAGCCTCGATGATCATGTGTTTAAAACGATCAACAAGGCTTTCTGTCTCAGTTCGAAAAAGAGGTAGAATGTTTCTCACTTGACTTGCGGCTTTTTCAACCAATTCTTCTGGCAAACCATCACCATCAGCCAAGTAAAGGTCTTTAAGAGCCCTGAAATCATCCTCTAATATCTGAGAATCCTGAGTAGTGAAAGAACGAGAAGGGCCGCCAGCTAAGAGCACCAGCAAAAACCCATCAAAGGAAGCTTTCATTAATGCGGTTATCACTTGATTTCGTATTTTATTGTGCACTGTGGTTGATATAATTTCTAATTTAGGATCAAGCTCTTTTAGTAGAGGATTTATCCTAGAAGAAGCAGTTTCTCCAATATAGAGGCCATCCCATAAAACGTGGCTTAGATCATGGAAGATAACTTTGTAAGCTGTTGATTCACACAATTGTTGAATTCCTTCTTGAGAAGCAGCTAGGGAAAGCTCGAATTTGTTTCCGAACCCGTTTGTTATGTCTGCTTGAGCTGATTCGACGTTCCTCAAGCAGGTTTTTATTTTCTTCTCTAGGTTTTCTAACTCAGTTCGGATATGATACAGTGTATTCATACGCACACATAACTGTGGCAAACCAGACGAACCTTGTCCAATCGCTGCTCTAACCTGTGATCCTTTTTTCCGCACAATTTGTGGTTTCTCTTTCTTCTTCCATAACCTTGAGCTAGCCCCGCATCTGGTTAATGCTGGTAATGCAGGAATGGAAGTGTTTCGTGTTCCTAAAATAAAAAGGGTTATCAGAGACGCTGAAATTTTAAAAATTTTCGCACGATAAAGAAAATAATTGGCAGGCTTGAAACTTACCACAGTCAGACTTAACTTTGGATATATAATACTGCAAGCTTCTGTCAAGTCCGATCAGCAAATAAGGAAGCTCAGCTGGATGCATTAGAATAGGCAGCTGAAAGAATGCATCTAAAGTTTCGTCAACTATTCTTAGAATATCAACTCCTGATGGAGCAATAATTTCGTTGTTTGCCTTTGGATTCCAAGCCTGCATATATTGATTATTCACCAAATTACAGCAGGCATAATAACAAAACATCACCAATTGTCAAAAATTTCCATAAATAAATAGGACTGGTAAATGAGAAAATCTGGGGAAAATAACTTTTAACTGGCGGTTGCATCAAGTTATACCAGCCATTGTAATGCCATTGATCACAGCATAAACTGTTTGCATTCACTTACTGAGTCTAAACCTTGTTAGTTACACACTGGGGTTTTTTGAAGTTTGAACTATGATGCTATTAAGTCCTTGCGTATATTTTATTTTTTCTTGGCAAAATTTTCAAATTTGACGGTATAGAAAAATCCTTATTCTTGTTACATATTCAAGTCCCACATTGGATGACAATAAAAAGTGTTAGTTACAAAAAAAATTGATCTAGTTATCTGTGTAAGGAATTAATCTCTCAGTGATCCTCAAAAAAAGGGATAAACCGCATTACGCATTAAATTTAAGCTTGGTAGTGAAAGCTGAGACGCGGGAGAAAAAACTGATTTGTGAGTCAGAATCATACCTCTTGTTGAAAATTCTTGTCGTTCCACTCTTTTAGCCTGTCCACTCTTGTTTTTATCCATGTCTTCACAAGACCAGCAATCGTAGATTCAGCCTCGAAAGGAGTCATCTCAGGGATTAGTGCCTTCCCGCCATCCTCACTGTCAATAGAATCTTCTACAGCAATATACACAAGATCTTTCTCCAACTTGTCTGCAGCTCTCAATACTTGGACAGAATCAACAGTCAGTTCTGTAAGACCTGAGATAAACTGCTTTAGTTCGCTTCCGTAACAAGAATGAAGAGTAGCAGCAGCAACACCAGCAGATAGAGGGTGCCATTTCTTCAATATTGGGCTGTAAAATTCTCTCTCTTTGTTTGCAAGATCACCAATGTCCTTAGCAAGAACTACAAGAAGGTGAGCGGTGGTACTCTGGTTACTTGATGTGTGCCTACTTGAGTCTGCTTTTCCCATTAGCTGACAATAATACAAACAGTTGCATATCTTAATAATAGGATTAGAAACATAAAAATATATAATACTGTGGGGGAAATCCAGTTGCATTACTTAGTTTTTACTCCAGATGTAATTCAACATTAAATAAAGGGTTAATTATGCATGCAGTATGGATGCTGCTTCATTCTGGCGCATTGGCTAATGCATTTGTCAGAGAGAATCCTATGGGAAAATAGATCTTTCTAGCTGCATCAGCAACTGCCAACTTAACATTTGACGGACTTAAACTGGACTGTTATCAAAATAGAGCCCTGTAAAAACTTCGACTATCTTTGTTGCACAAATGTGTATATGGAGTATTCTTCTTGCTGGTTGACACAGAAAATTATCCAAACAAGTATTTTTTCCCCTTTTGCTTCTTTCTTTCGGATTCGGATCTTCTCCACTACCAAAAATTAGTGGAGAGACCACTACATAATCACAACCATTAATTATCTAGTCGGTGGTTATGATTTTTCCTTTTAGTGTAAATTACGAATGATTGCAATGTAGGGGGAGTATGATGAATGTTAGATTTAGATTATATCATAACCGCCTACTAAATAATAAACGGTTAAGATTAAAAGTAATGGTGTATCCACTACTTTTTTTTGTAGTGGAGAGGATCCAAATTCTTTTCTTTCTGTTCGATGCACCATGACTAGTATGGAAAGGAAAAATGAAAATAGCTGTATAAACTTCTAAAGATTAAAGCAAAAGTATGGTAGCACTTTGTGTCTTGTATTATGAAACATATCTACATAGTGAACCGAAAGGTTTCAACATTTTGAATACCACTTACCTGACCAAATGCAGCACGGAGAGATGATCGAATGTATGTGTCAGTCCTAGTTCTAGCAATATCCACTTCTTCTCTCATTCTCTGATGACATTCATTAGAAATATCCTCCGCTAGTATCTGGGCAGCTGATACCCCTAACGAGACAATACACTCCATGGATTCAATATTGTTAGGGTTGAAGCTATCATGGTAAGCAATAAGTCTTTTCTCTGACCAGCGCATTATCAAACTGAATACCGAACTCAGTACTTTTGAATATTCTGGATTTTTTGTGGATCTAGCATCCTTCAGAACCTCGCCTATCTGATTGTCAGCGGCAAACAGAAGATCCATATCCATTTGGCCAGTTGTTACAAAACGACGAAACATAATCCACAAGAGGACAAGGTTATGAAGCTTCTGATCTATTCCTAGGACAGCCCATGTCTTTTTTATCAACGCAAGGACCTCCTCGATCTCTCCAATGATCGACCCATTCTCACCATTATCAAAACAAACTCCCAATAGCATTTGATACAAATGGAGATTCAACGGAAAGCCATCCGCCCAGTGGCATGTATCAGTAGCATATCCGTCAGATGATCTGCAAGCAAGGCTCATGACAGAATTCCGCAGAAGCTGCATTGACTCTGAGTTCTTCCCTGTTTCAAGCGGCCTCTCCGAAGCCGCACGTATAATTTGCCTAAGCCGTTGCGCTGCAGCATCTGACTCCTGTAACGGAACGAGAGGGTGCGCGAGCAACCCAGCTTCAAGAACCTTTAAATTTCTAATCTTCCATGCATCATACTCTTGTGGATCTTGAAAATCTGAAGCTTTGGACTTCTGTAACAACTCTAACGGCAAAACCATCGAATCTATGCGCCTCCCAAGCTGTTAAGAGGAGAGCAGAGACAAGGAAACAAAGAATAGTCAAATGCGAATTCAGACATCTGACATCTAATTACCTTCACACAAGTTCTACTTTATTACATGCATGCACATAGGATGAAGGAACATCCCCTGTAATATATGGGTGATGCTACAGGGACCCTACATAGGGGATCGGGGGGCAGGTGAGGTGTGCCCCCTGAATGCATGCATGATCAGTGCATCATGCATTCATGGGGGACACATCACCTGTCCCCCTCTTAGGTCCCCTATTTGGGT